ATCCCGGTTGACCACGAACTTAAATTACGCAGTTTCCAGACAAGCGATGTGCCGCAGCTTTTTGCCTGTATATCGGCCAACCGCGCGCATCTCCGGGAGTTTCTGCCCTGGGTGGATGCCACATTGAAGGAAGCAGATTCACTGGCTTTTGTTGATACTACTATCAAACAGCAAACAGCGCAGGAAGGAATGGCCATGGGTATCTTTCTGAACGACCAGCTGATCGGCAGCATTGGCATGCATACCTGGGACCATCGTTTAAAAAAGTGCGAGATCGGTTACTGGCTGGCCGAAGACCGGCAAAACCAGGGTTATATGTACCGCAGTGCCATTGCGTTCCTTGATTTTCTTTTTCACCGGCTGGAGCTGAATAAGGTAGAGATCCGCTTCCTGCCATTTAACAGTCGCAGCGGATCACTGGCCCAAAAGCTTGGCGGAAAGGTGGAAGGTGTATTAAGAGACAACTATAAAATAAATGGTTCTTTGGAAGACACCGTTGTCATCGGCATCCTGAACAAAGAGTGGAAAGCAAGGCCTAAGCAATGATCGCATCGCTCAACCGATCCTGATCTTTGGCCCGTAAAACTTAGGCTCCTTATTTACCAGCAGATCAAGCGCCATTTTTACCCGCGCCAGTTTCTCACGCGCCTGTACCATAAAGCCCCGCTTCATACTTATATCCGTGGCATTAAACCCGATTGCATCAATGTCTTTATAGCGTGCTATAAACAAGGCCCGCTCATTATGGAACTGCTGCGAGATAACAATGATATTGTCTTCACCAAATACTTCCTTACAACGTACAATGCTATCCAGTGTCCGGAAACCGGCGTAGTCCAGGATGATACGATCGGGCGGGATGCCGCCGGCCAGCAGGTCTGCCTGCATGGTCTCCGGCTCATTATACGCTTCGTCTCCATTGTCTCCGCTAACGAGGATATAATCGATCTTACCGGCCTTGAATAAAGTAATGGCAGCTTCAATACGATACTTGTAATATGGATTGACAAAGCCGTTCTGCCCTTGCCTGGAAGTGCCCAGCAGCAAACCAACTTTCCGGTGAGGTATCTGCCCGGCATCGGTATAAGTACGGTCTTTTGCCGAGCGCGTCACCCATGCATTCACCCCAAAGGTAGTGCCCACAACGAGTACCAATCCTGCAATAATAAAGCGGCGCCAAAAGTGATTTC